ATTTTTTTGTGACAATTTTTTATATATGTCGCTAAAAATTGATAATTAGTGACTTTTTTTTTAATGATTTTTATAAATTGTCTCTAAAACTTATAATTAATAACTTTTTTTTATGACAATTTTTTTTTTATAAAACTTATTAGATAATAAATCCACTTATTAAAATATACACATGAGTTTTGCTAACTTTTATGCTCGAAAATTATAACTCCTCGACCACACATTCACGTGAACTTACATTATTTCAAAATGGCAATTTTGTTTTTTAGCTCATTCATATTTATATGGTGATGATTTTTTTAAAAACTTATTATTATTATAATTGAAATCTATCTAAATGGTTATTTATTTAAATGAAATCTATCTTAATGGTTATTTATTTAAATGAAATCTATCTTAATGGTTATTTATTTAAATGAAATCTATCTTAATGGTTATTTATTTAAATGAAATCTATCTTAATGGTTATTTATTTAAATGAAATCTATCTTAATGGTTATTTATTTAAATGAAATCTATCTTAATGGTTATTTATTTAAATGAAATCTATCTTAATGGTTATTTATTTAAATGAAATCTATCTTAATGGTTATTTATTTAAATGAAATCTATCTTAATGGTTATTTATTTAAATGAAATCTATCTTAATGGTTATTTATTTAAATGAAATCTATCTTAATGGTTATTTATTTAAATTGACACTGGCTTCAATTCAACTAGATAATGTTTTACACAATTTTGAGTTTAATAAATTGTTGGTCTCCCAAAATGCGCGTTCTGTTTTATTTTGATACTTGATATTTTAGTTGAATTATTTTGATGCTTGATCACTAATGTTGTTTCCATCCAATTATCCATCTAAGCTGTCTAAATTTGAACAAAAATAACCTTATTTACTCCTGCTTTTGTTATAAAATTAAAACTGACATGACATTGTGAACTATTTTAAAAACCAATTTTAACATATTTTTCAATTTATATACTAATCATGTATTCTTTAGAAAGAACACTAAAACCAACTGTAGTTTTACGTGGAATGACATGTTATTTATTTAGAACAATTACAAAATAAAATTCCAAAATTTGAAATATACTTTGAGTTTTAATTTTGTCAATTTAAATTTATTACTATTAATTTATTTTTAATTTAAATCATTTGTCTATTTATTAAGATAAATTTGATAAATAAGCTATTTTAGATATTTTTTGTATACCTACATTAATATTTTTTTCCTGTTAGTTTTACTTAACGAAAATGGATAAATGGTTTATATTGAAAATAAATCAAAATATTAAGATTTAATTTGTTGGTGGAAGAGAGGCTTCAAACTACTTATGGTAACTTGACATAAAATTCAGAGAGATAAATTTAGAGACAAACAACTAGACTTTTCTTGAGAAAATTATAGAACGAGGAGAAACACACTCTCTGTCTCTCTAACTCTTGCACTCTTTTCTTCTCTCCCACATGCTGAACTCCCATAATACAATATTTAATTATAGGTAAAACTAATAATGTAAAGGCATAACAATACAATCTTATTTTGATCCTAAGCCTACAAATCTTCACTTTCCATGCTTCAGCAAATCTTTGATCACAGATTTTTTCGGCGGCTAGCATATTTTTTGGTGGCTAGGGTGGCTGTCTAGGGTGGTGGCTATCAAGCTTACTTTCCAACATTTTGAAAGTAGTGTGGAGTTTCGAATTATGTGTTTGGTTATGAGTTTTGAAAATAATTTTTGAATTGAGTCTTAAGCTATGTGTCTGGTTACAATTTAAGTGTGAAGTTGTGTTTTGAGTTTAAAATATTAAAATTAAAAATTAAAATATTTACAAAATAAAATAAAATGTTTAAAATAAAAAAAAATTAAATAAAAATTATATATGTAAAATAAAAACAAAAATTTCTTAAACATTTTTTAATATTTTTTAAAAATAAATCCAAAAAATTTAAAATACAACTCAAAATTCAAAAACTCAAAACTCAAAATTCTTTTCAAAATTCAAAATTCAAAAAATCATTTCAAA